ATTATTGATATAAACGCTATATCAACTACATCACTACCACGTCTTAAGAGAAGTTACCACTTCTGCATATGGTCTTGAGAAAAGGGAGCCGACTGACCAGGGGGTTGATGTTATGGAGAGCGAGTTTATAAAAGAAAGAGAGGCCTAGAAAGAAAACCTTTAGGAAGAAAGAAAAAACCTAACTTCGGCAAGGAAGAGGAAAAGGAAAGGGGAGAGGGTAATTTTTATAAGAAAGTCTGAAGAAAGGAAAGGTAAGAAATAACGAAGGGGAAATAAAAAGATATGGAAAAGGGGAAAGGAGAGAGTGAAGAGAAAAAAAAGTAAACAACCTAAAAATTTCCTAAAAAGGAAATTTCCAAGCACAGAAGAGGGAGTGGGAAAGAGTTTCCATTATTTAAAACCTTATTATATTACTTACTTATCATTAATACTTATAGAATATATATACATAATTAATAATATAATTAATAACTAGTAATTAGTTAATTATTATTTTTTTTTTTTACTTGAATTTATAAAAAATTAACATATGTTAACTTTTAAATTTTAATAGGTTTTAATTAATTTATTTTATAATTTACTTTTGTAAAAATCATTAATATATTGATTATAAATATTTTGTTTAATAAAATCTATGTATTTAATATTTGTTAAAATAATAAAATAAAAATATAAAATATAATTATTTTATAACAATATATTATATTTATTTAATTAAACATATTAAAATTTTTTTATTATATATAAATAATCAACTGTAATAATAATAAATTAATAAAATTAACTAAAAAAATAATTGTTTAAATTTAAATTCAACTTATTTTTTTTATTGATTTTATTTTAAATATTATATGTATATAAATTTATTATTTTAATAATTTATTTATTCAATAAAAATATATTATTTTTAAATTTTTATTAATAATAATTATATAAGATTAATAAATTGATTTGTTAATAATAATAATTTTTTTTTAATTTTATATTAAACCTGAAATTTATAAATCATATATCTATCATTATTTTAATATAGTTACAAAATTTAATAAAATTTTATAAATTATTTATAAATTAAAATTTTATTCTAAAATTATATTTATTATTAAAAAAATTTAAATAATAAATTATTATATGAAATAAAAAAGAAAAAACCAAATATGAGAAATTAAAAAATAAAAATTTAGATAAAGATCAATTTTTATTTTTATTTTTAAAGTATTATTTACTAAAGTTATATAAATATTATTGTTTTTTATAATATATATATTATAACAATAGTCAAATCAAATATTTAATTTCAATATTTCATCAACATAAAAAAAATGTATAAATATGATTTATTTTTAATTATAATTACTTATTAAATAATTATATTAAATATATGTACAGTATATATATGTTTTTTGATTATTTTTCTTAACTATATATTCAAAGTTTTCATAACATTTCAATAATACTTAATCAAATTATTATTTTTTTGAACATGATGTTTTTCTTCCATGTGAAAATTCAATAACAATAACAAATTTATTTTTATTTACTGTTAATTACTTTATATAGTTTATTAAATTTATGAATTTATATATTTGAAAAAGTCCGTTCAATTCTTAATTAAGCAAAAAAAGGTAAATTAGTAAAAACAATAATTTATAAAATTATAAAATTTAAATCATTATCTATTAAGCTATATTCGATTATTTAATGTATAATGTATTTTAAATATTTTATTTAATATATAGATGATTATATCTATGATATAAGTTTTTTTTAAAACAAAATCTTTATACTTAAAAAAAATGATTTTTTAAAATTAATTATAACTAGATCATATACAATATTATTACAATATTTATTTCAATATTAATTCAATACTTAGATTTATTATAAATTTATATAAGTGGGTTATAATTCATATAATAAATTTACTATAAATCAGTACTATATTGATATCACTTTGATATTGGGTTGATACTTTTTTAAAATCCTAATTATAATAAAAAGTTGTTAATATTAATAGCTAATGTAAAAAATATTTACAAATGAGTTAATATATGTTGAGTAATAGCACGTGCTTCACAATAATAAGAGCTGAATCTTTCAAAAACACAGGATTTACAAGTATGTGTTGGAACAGTAGTTCAAATACAGGTTTTTTCAGTAAATTGATTGATATATTCTATAAATTCTGGTGTAAGATTTTCTGGAAAATATCTTTGAGCCAGGAAATTTAATGCTTATTCAAAAAAATTTGAACTTGTTTACAAAATTTATCATTTGATAAGTCCAAAATATTGTTGAAAAATATCAATGTCAAAAAATCCTTCCCAACTTTTTTGTCTTCTTGATGTGAAGAATTTTGAGCAATTTGTCTCGAATGTCTACCTCATCCTAGAAATTAAACACAATCATCATTAGTATGTAAAAAGCATCAATCTCCCTAATTTTTGCCTTACCCTGATCTATATCAATTAATTCGGTATTACTTTCTGAGCCATCGTCATCATTTCTCAAGGCCTAGAATATAAGAAAGAAAAGTAAATATATTGCTACAATATTATTTGGGTTCTTTCACAGCAAAATCATGTTTAGAGTATATACAGTAAAATATATGGATTCTAAGCATGGTTTTGCTGTGAAAGGGTCCATTTGTAGTTCGTGGTAGTGATGTAGTTGATATAGCGTTTATATCAATAATAACGTACGATTTTTTTTGGTCCCTTTTTCAGAATCATCATCCAATGAGTACTAAAACACAAAGTAATTAGCTTCGAAATTTATTCTCAACTTATATTATAGTTAGGTAATATTTCTTAGTACCTCTTCCTGACTTCTTTTTGATGCATTTCTGAGAACTTTGCCACTTACACATTTAGTTTGGAGTTGCTCATCCTAAGGATTAAAATTGTAGATCATCAGGAGTAAGATCACAGGATAATAAGTCATCAGCTAAAAAAATGCACACCCGTATCTTTTCCAACATTAATTTTCTTCTGTTCCCAATCATACTAGCATGTAAGTTCAATTCCTTGCTTCGGTCAAGAACATAACTTAACTAATAGAGGGGTATTAATCATAGCTTGTATAACATAAAATACTGAAGTAGTCAAAAACTTACATCCTCATTTTCAATCTGTAAAGTTTTTAGTTCATTTTGCGCCTTGACATTCTGGAGCTCTTGCCGTAGTAAATTCTGAGTCCTATTATCATTCCAGAAATTTTCAACTTCCGGAGAAAACTTAATCTCCTAAGAAAGAACATGATTATAAAAGCGTGCTGAACAATACAAGTTGTATTCATATGCAATAATACGCAGACAAACTGCAACGAGTTCAGAGACTCAACATTAGGCTGTGTCAGAGATCACCCAATGTGTTACAACAATGGACTCAGAGAACCTACCAAAAATCCCAATCAACTCAGAGATTGATTGTGCTCATTATTACAGAATTCGGAGATTCATACAATGTAATAAGAGCGGGAATTTTGGCCTGTCAACAGAGCCCAAACATAAAAAAAAAAAAAAAAACATACATTCCAGTTATTAAGTAACTCCTGCGCTCTTTTTGCTTTTGTGATATTTGCGTCAGTCGTAAGTTCGTGGAGAAAAAATTTGAACACACTATGCTCTTTTGACCTATCTAAAAACCGCAATATTTCGGATCTCCATGTTAAAAAATCAACAAGTGACCACTTGGATGGTTCGGTATTTTGAAAGTAATGAAAATAGTCTGGTCTTGATGTATCTTCCATGGGTACTGTTTTACAAGTCGATGTTTTTGTTGATGAGACGCGTAAGATTTAAGATCACAAAATGTAAATCAGCGCCTTATGTAGTGCCCGTGATAAATCGCATGAAATCAAAAGCATGTGATATTTTGAATATATTAAACAAAAATTTGATATGCTGGATCAAACACACCGTTTTTTATTTTCGGGTTCGTCGCATGCGATTAACCGATCCTTCAACAACCCCAACAATATATTGATTTTTCCTTTTAAAATAGCTCAATTCTTTTTTATGACTTTTTTTTAGGTTAATTTGATGCCCACTAATAGTAAACAATGCAAAATTGATTAATGGTAAAAAATAATACTACACCTTTCATACAAATAATGTAATCTTTTTCATCAAAGTGCCTAGTGTTATAAGCAGATTAGTAAATTCATACTTAATAATATTATTTGATCACAATCGAGATAGCAATCTTAACTCGCTATCAATTATAACTAGGGATTTAACATAAATAAAATACTTTTAAATTAACTGTCTTTTGCTTTTTATTTATATTTTTGTGAATACTGGTCACACAAGTAAATATACTCTATTTAAATTATAGTAATTTATTGTTAAAAATTATTTAAAAATTATTATTATTATTCTATCTATTATAATATTTTACATTCTTGGTTTTTATGTGATCACGTTATATAAATTATAATAGAATGTATACGTTATCAAAGAACAAAAATATGAAAGAATTCAAAAAAAAAAAAAAAAAAAAATACCTAATCATATATTCGATACATTAGAAAACCAAAATATATCAAAAAATAATACTTTAAATTATTATGTTGTTTTTTGAATAATATTTATGTTATGGTAAAATCGTTTAACTAATATATTTTAATTAATAAAATTTTTATATTCAAAAATATTAAAAAAATTTTTTTAATATTTTTGAATATAGAATTTTTATTTCAATTTATATTTACTTACAATTCATATTTTTTTTTATATTTTATGTCATTTCTATATTACTTTATAATTTAGTAAAAAATTTATTCTTACGTCATTTTTAATAAATTGGGATGAACAAGTTTGGTAGAGTTTTATTGACAAAAAATTTATATATATTTAATTTATTCTTTTTTAAAGCATTAACCAGAATGAGCTTCGCGTAATCTTTATATGTCCAAGTAAAAATGAATCCCTTTACCATGTAAAATTGACAAACAAACAAAATTCTCTTGTATTACGTAATATTTGTTTGAAATCATCATTTTCATTATTTGTTTTATGTGCATTGACCATTTCACGTGACCTCATACGAGCCATCGGGAATAACCATTTCTCATTTCGCTTTTTCACGTGTTGCGTCAGTGCGCGATGTAAGATACTGTATTCAGGTCTCCTCAATCGTATTTAATATATATCGTATGACTTTGTATTCACATGACCAGGTACCGTACTTATATCGGAATCTATTGGCCATTATCCCGTGATACAAAATCGATATACTACAGAAGTTCCCGGGGTTTTGACCAGATTTAATAGTTGACATCTCCATTCTAAAGGGATGTGCGTAATTAAGGGTCTTCAACTTGTTTGTTTATGGGATGTATCTTGCTAGTTTAAGGAATTTTAATTTTGCATATACAGTACATACAGCATTTAACTTTGAGGATCACGTGAAACTAATGAACTAGTAAGTTGCATTTTTACATGTTGTAATATGACGACGAATGAGCGTTTGTACATGAAAAAAAAAAAAAGGGAGTTTTTTTTTGGTAATTCTGCGATCACATAATAATCGGTGCTCACTGGCTTCTGAAACGTCCCGACTTTTCCCGGGCCATTCAACAAACGCTTGGATCATGATTAAATATAACTGAAAGATGGGACCGCCGTTTGTGCGTCATCGTCAACGCGTCTTTTCCATAAACAATCTTGAGAGAAAAGAATGCGGTGGCTGTGGATGTAGGATGAATTGTGCAGAACACAGTCGTAAGACAGGGAGAAGTGTGACTCAATGCGAATTCTACGTTTCCCACAAATATTTCATAAGCCTGTGACAAATATAATACCTGTCTCCCTTGCACCCTAAATCTCAAGGAGATGGAAATTTTTGGTGTGAGTCTCTCGTGTGACAAAAATATTAACGCCAAGCTCAATCGTCGTCTTTTAATTTTTTAATGGAGATGGCCCCGTCGTCATGTACCAAAGAATTAATTTTTGATCTTAGGAAATTTGTGTTCTCTACTTGCATGTTTGTTTCCTCCATAGAATGAACCAGTTATATAGGAAAGTCGTCACGGATTTTACTTTTTTCGCATAACTTGTGTCCTGATCAACTAGATAAACTACTCGGTTATGTTTGTGCGTACCACTTTGTACATTTTGTACTTGCATAAAATGTTTATTATAAGTTTAGGTTCATTTGTTCCACTATCCAATAATGTTCGTTTTATGATGTGTAACCAGTGCCCTAGAGTATTGGGAAAAAAATTATATGTATCAACTTTATTCCTGTATTAGAAAAAACAAACGTATTTCCCTTTTACATTAACCAGGATCCCTTCTCTCTACATCACCTATTTCTTATTTAAACTCATTTACTTTAAAAATTATTTTGCTACGCACGTCCGCTTCATTTTTCTTCTTCGCACACACCCTGCCGTACTGTTTATACATTCGGTTATTTATGCACGCTTTTAATGCTTTGAAAGGAAATCCTCAATTTTATTTAGAGGCAATTTTGCAATCTTAATCCTTTTTATTTATTTATTTATTTATTTATCTTTTGGATACCATCTGTAATTTGCCCCAATATGTTGCCTTCCAACGCTTCAAAGCGCGCGCGCACCTCTGAAACTGATGAACATCATTATCTACAAACTCAACTACAAAATTTTCAACAAAACCAACAGCAGACGCAGCAGCTCTTCAAGCCTCCTCAACAACATAAGATGGAAAGACAATTCTTCCAACAACAGCAACAACAACAACAACAACAAAGCCAATTATTTGAGGGCTTCAGCTCTTCATCATCAATACCTGATAAAAGATCCAATGATACGGAAGTACCCCTAACCGGACAAGAGGTTCAGCGACTTGAAAAATTGGTCGATGTCTTGATTGAGTCGGTCTTCCCAGATAAAGCCAAACAAGCAAGGGAAATAGTCACCAACGTGGTCAAAACTTCCCTTTCTTCGCATCCCGCGAGTAAAATGACCCTTAATGAAAATACAAATTCGATCGTTCTCGATCTTCCAATTCTCGCTGAGCCTAGCTTGGAGGTGAAACCATCGGGTTCTCCTCTGAGCAATATCCTCAATCACACCTTCCCCAATTCGTTGGTGGAACTGGTGAACAAGCTCAACAAGATGTCAATTAATCCGGCTAGTTTCGATTTTCTAAATTCAAATTCAAATGTTCCTTCACCTTCTACATTCCCCACGAATAATCCATCTTCCCAATCCTCCACCCCTTTGCCACCACCACCCCCATCCGAGGATCTGATCAGACAGTTGATTAATGATTATTTCAATCGTTTCAATGTTGTCATTCCTATCGTGGACCGGCGAAAATTCCAAGAAATGTGTATTAAGGAAAAAGATTCGGTCCACACAAAGTTGTTGATGAATTCGATTTTGGCCGTTGCTGCGAGGTTTTCCGATGATCCCTCCATACAAAAAAGTCCCGAGAAACCAGGTGGCATCTTCTTTGATGCCGCAAAGGTAATTGATATTACAGGTTTTCAACTGCGGTTCCCAATAACTTTTATTATTCATTGTATGCGAAGCGGAGTAAACTCATTTCTGCAAAAATATTAGAAACTGTTGGACAACATGTACAATGTTCCAAAGTTGGAAACTCTTCAAGCATTATTACTCATATCTAGCTCCGAGGTTAGCATAGCACGCGTAGATAGTGCTACCATGTTTCTTGCTATGGCCGGTGAGTTGACCTTGATCCGATCGTGCAAATTTTATTACACATTAGTCGATTCTGATGTATCTTTTTGACCAAATATGTAATAGCTCAAATGGCGCATTCATTAAACCTTGGGCGCAATGAATCCACTCTGCTGACCGAAGAAGAAGAAGAAAAGCGAAGAATTTTCTATTGTCTATATTGTTGCGATAGGTACGATCCTCTCGGAATCGTTGAAATTTTTTATGACAATCTGTTTGACAAACAATTCTACCTTTTTTCCTAGATGGGTTTCATTCATGTTGGGAAAACCCGCCTTGATTGAAGACATAAATATCAACGTTCCTTTACCGACATTGGCTTCATTCGAAAGTTCAACCAGGGTCTTCTTCATTTCGTGGATAAAGCTATCGCGCATTCTAGGTGAAATTTGGAAGTTCGGTTACTCTTCGAAGCCTAAAGCTTGTAGTGCAAATTGGCAGATTCACATGGCAGATCAAAAAAGCACCTTGAGGCAGATACGTGCTGCTTTGGCCAAGTGGTTAAAGGAGTTACCAGATGAATTGCAATATCAGTATTTACCAAACACTGATCCACGAAGTTTGATCCAATTGACGAGATTTTCCGATTTCGCCGGTAAGTTATATTCGATAATTCGAGATTTGCTGTTTTCAACAAGAGATACTCTTCATTTTAATTAACATCTTGGTGAATATCTGATTACAGGATACATAAACATTCTCTTCCACGTCTGCATGATAGTTCTTCATCAACCCTACCTGTCACAGGCGAAAATTGGAATTCAAAGTCAAGGCTCAAACGGTCCAATCAACACGTGCCTCACCGCCGCCATTACGATCACCGATATTGCAAAGACAACTCGGAAATACGATAAGGATGCATTTTGTAATTTTCAATACGTCCTTTACGGACTTCTACAGTCTTCTTCGATCATAGGAATGACTATCATGAATGGTGCACATGAATATGAATCCACCGCCAGAAAGGCTTTGCGTGATGCCATAGAAGAACTTAAATATGCTGCTGAAAGTTGTAAAATTATATCAATGCAAGAGATAGTCAAGGAGTTGGAGGGCGTAATGAGAATTGCGAATAGCAACTCATCAGACATCGCGATTCCGTTCCCCCTTGTTCTACAGATTTTGGAATCCAGGGGTTCAGCAAATAATGGAGGAGGGGGATTTGGGCATGCTCCGCTGAGAAATATGGGTTCGGGACGTGATTTCGGTAATAATAAATTAACCTCGTCACCCATGAGCGAATGTTCAACGGCGTCAAACTCGTCGATCGCGCAAGATGATGAAAATTCGTTGAAAATAAAATATCCCACACCGCCCAGTCTCACGACAAACTCAACTCCAATGCCAATGTCTCCATCTCTATCACCCTCATCAAATCACTTGTCAAATCAGCAGGCCGACCCAAACTCGTTCATTTTCGATACGCAAGACCAAACTTCATTACAATTTAACCAAATTTCGTCTAATATCGACCAAAATATCACGCAGGACACGGTTGGGGGTTGGAACTCGCCGTTTTTCATAAACGACGGTTTATATGAGCTCATGAATTCCTCCAATTCATCAAATTCGTTATATCCTCCCAGTATCATTGCGAATGTATGTAACAATTCAAGTAGTCAGCAAGCGATACAAATAGACAATGGCGAGAGGACTTTATGATGTCAAGAAAATTCCTTGATGCAAGTGAATGTGATTAAACCAGGACCGAAAAATGCATTTTAAAATGTTGATCTTTCGTGGTGCATCAAAAGGCGGGGCATTTCTCATGACTGAATGTTTTAAAACCTTTTCGGTTCGGTTGAGCTAATTTGTATTTGGGTAATTATTTTGAAGGTGACAGAAAAAAAATATTGTGAAGTTTTGGAATGCTGTCGGATTAAATTAAAAAACAATAAAAATCATTTGGCTTTCATTCATTCGTTAGATCTAAGATCCAAGAAATTTGATAGCTTTAAAAATAACTAATTCCGCATTATTTATTCACAATAAGATTTGAAAGGGAAACCTTAAAGATTCATTCGACACAAAATAAGCATATGATTTATATTGGTAATGAATTAATATATGCACTTATTTCTAATTTATCGAATAAAGTCCTTAAGCTTTAATCATTTTTTTTTTGGAAGGTAGAAAAGATCCTTAAATGTATAATTCAAGCGAAAAAATTTATGTTTCCAAAATCGTTTGAAAAAGATGTTAAGAATTTTCAATAAATAAAAAAAATTACATATCAGTGTATACTTTGTTTTTCCGAATGGAAATTACCGTAACGCAAAACAAAAAAGTTGTCAACTCTAAGAAAATGACGGGTTTTTTGACAAAATAACCATTAACATATTTGAGTATTATTTACATGAATGAAATAAAAATGCAAAATGCACAACACAAGATTAATTACATTCATTAAAGTGACCAAAAGATTCAAAATGCTAATGCTGATATCTAAAATTGATTTTGGAATTTTATTATTATTTTTATAAAAAAGATATGTCATGTTTATTATTACTCAATCTTCAGGTTTTATCTTTTTAAAAGTAGTTACATACTATCTCTTTATTCATTTGTATATAGTATGATATATATTTATATGAAAATTATAAAATATAATAAACAAGTTAAAGCTAGCAATTACTTTTCTTTATATATAGTGATCTTTAAACCTGTAATTTTTTTAAAAAAGACAAGACAGCTATTATATCTTTTGTTTGTATAATTATATATTTGGTTAAAAATAACATTCAAAGATTTTTCTGAAAAAAAACTTTAAAGATTTTTGCTTTTAAAATTTTTTTTAGAAATTAAGATTCTGAATTAACATTGAAATAGTCTTAACATATAATAAACTTAGTAGTAACTTGATTTAATATTGAAATAATCTTATTAAGAATCTTATTTGTAATTTTATAATTAAATATAATTTTAATCTGTTTTATTTATTTTTATCAAAGAATTGTAAAAATATTTATATTTAAAATTTTTATAATATTTTGAAATTCTTTTTTTTTTTTAAAAAAAAAATCAAATATATAATAATATATATATTTTATTAATACTTATATAACTTGTAAATTAATAATGCAATAATTAATACTTTAAAATTTATATCACAAAATATCAAGTTCAATTTTAGATAAATATATTAATCATATTAAAATAATATTGATACTATAATCTATTAAATAATATTTTCTATAAAAAGTTAATTTATATATTAATCCAGTAGGCATTAAAATTATAATATTTAAAAAGATATATAATATTTATTTTGTTTTTTTTTTTTTATAAATAAACATAATTTATTTACTTATTTATA